TCTAGTGCAAACCGATGATTCAAGTGTAACATAAAACTGGCAAGTCAAATAAAGTGCAACGTATAATACGTGTCGGAATATTATTTCACACAAACAGGGAGTAATCACCCACACATAGCCATCAGCCATATTTTTGCCCAAACAATTTTCTTGACAGGTACACTACAAAATCACTTTAGGCTGATTTTTACTACCTTGTAAGTGTTACTCCACAGTTTTTTCACGAGGAATCGTTTATATACAAAAGAGTCTAAAAGTGAGACACCCGACATAGCAAACAATCAGCAAGATATCCTAGTCCAGCAAAACAGGAAAACAAAATTTACACACAAGATTCACCCAAAACATGTATTGTAAAGTGAATTGATGAGCCATATACTTTGAATGCAAAGGTCGAAGCAAACATCGGAAATTCTTAGACCAGTTGGCAATAATAAACTGATTTTGCCATTATAAAATATACTTTCAAAGCCAGCCATACCTGCATATGAGATTGGCAAACATACTAATAATGTAGGTAGATATCAAGGAGCCTTCATATACAAAGGACCTTCGAAAACAAACTAAAAGGATAAACAAAAAAAACTTTTAATGTTAACCAGAATTCCTACACATAGTAACAAAGCCTGGAAACTAGCAAATATATCCAATGGATCCATCACATAATAAGCCAAATAAACTATATATATCGATAAAATCAGAAAGCAACAACACGAAGCAACCTGCGTGCACATCCTCAATGGCCCCGGGACTTCATGACCTTCAGAAGAAGCTTTGCCTTTTCAGTCTTGATCTCAAAAAGCCTCGCATACACCTCCATCTCTTCAATCTCGATCTTCTTCCATGCTTCATCCAGTTCCCGATCTTGGACTGGAACATTGTCGCCTAACTCATACCTCCTATCAATATTGTTGGCGTCCGCCCCCCTGCCATCGCCTTTTTCGACACCGTTTTCTTTCACAGCTCCCCACACTTTCTCCGACAGCTCGTAGACTTCCTGCTCATGCTGGCTCGTAAAGATTCTTCCTTCACTTTTGCTCTTGTTGTTTGTGTACTTCTTTTTGGTCTTAGAAATCTTATCCCTCAGCTGAGACATCGTCACGTCAAAGTGCAAATCTTTCTTGATGAACTCGTAAAAGGCGTGCATATCATCATGCGGGTCGGATTTCTTCTCGGCCCTAAACTGCATAATTCCGTTCAGGAGGGCGATTTCGTCCGCCTCGCTCCATACCCTCTGAAAAAATTGTTTCTTCTCGGATCCCTTCTTCGACTTCTTGCTGAAAGTGGACTCCGCCCCCTTAAACTCCTCGACGGCCCTCTTTTTGGTAGATCTGGTCGGTGAAGCGGAGGCGGCGGTGGCCTTATCCTTGCCTTTCGATTGGGATTTTCTTCTGGCGTCGGATTCGGATTCGGATTCAGATCCCGAATCCTCGTCGGGTGGGGCGGGCTTTGTGGCGGAAGGGGTTCGGGGTTTCCTGGCGTTGGCCGGCGGTGCGGAAGACTCGGTCTCAGATTCGATTTCCTCAGACGAGGAATCGACGTTTTCCTCATCGCCAGAAGTGGTTTCAGAGGAGACGGGCTTCTCGGGCTCACGGGATTTCGACATTTTCCGGTGAGAAAGTTACAAGGGTTTTTTCTTTGGAGGGGAAAGAAGGATTTTAGGGTAGGAAGTGAAAAGGGTCTGCGGCGGCGAGGGTACGGAGGGCTGCAGTCAGTAGTTAAATAGTAAGCCCTTGGAAGAAAAAATAGGATTAACCATTGCTTAATAGAATTAGATTAGACATGAGTTTTTTTTTGTCACATAAATTAGAATAAAGGCATATTATGTATGTTACTTACCACACAATAGCAATCGAGATTTGGAGCATAATTGATGAATACCTGAATATTGTGATTTTAACGTTTTTTCATCAAATAAATTAGAATAAAGGCAGATCATGCATGCTACCACACAGTAGCAACCAAGATTTGGGGCATAATTGATGAATATATGAACACGTCGATTTTGACGATTTTCTCTTGAGCTTGGAATTAAGACATGTATCAAATTACCACAATTACTTATGCAGTCAATCTTCCTCTTCATATATGATGTCGAATTTTATAAAGCTAGAATATAGTGTGTAATATGCACATGACCTCACTACTAGGAAAGAGATACATATGTAACTCGATTACTAGTATAACACGTTTCCTAGTATAACATGCCTTTGAGAACTTATATTTTTAGCGATATACACTTAACATTCAAGTAGGAGCTAAGAATTCTAAGTGTTTAGATATTCATCAATTATGCCATAAATCTTGGTTGCTACTGTGTGGTAGCATGCATGATATGCCTTTATTCTAATTTATTTGACGAAAAAACGTCAAAATCGTCATGTTCAGATATTCATCAATTATGCCCCAAATCTTGGTCGCTACTGTGTGGTAGCATGCATGATCTGCCTTTGTTCTAATTTATTTGACAAAAAAAACTCATGTCTATTAAGCAAGTTGTCAATGCCTAGACTAATTTATTTGGGGGGAAAAAAACTCGTGTCCAATGAGCTAAGACCCAATACACCTTTAAATTGGGCTTATTTTCATGTGAACTAACATGTCTAATGAGCTAGAGACATTATTTGGGCCTATCACCAACTTCTCTTCAAGGGACCAAGGGTTGTGCACTTGGGCCCGGCCATTGCATGATTCCACTTCGATTCTTTGATCGATTTTCATCGTTTTGAGCCCAAAACTTAATTCGACCTCATTCTCTGTAAAAACTCAAAATAAAACATCTCGTCATAGCTCAACAGAACTAATTAAATAATAATTAATTAAATAATAACTAATTATATATCAACCTATGATGAAACGTACATGTAAAAATGACGCATGTCACTAGATTTGACAATTACCATAAAATTATTTTACCTTTCAGTTTCTTAAATTACCATATTACGTTTTCTTTTCATTAATTACCATACATTACATTTCTCATTCTTATTTAATTCGTATATCAATTTTATAAATATTTATTCTTCTTATTTTAAAAATTTTAAGTTTTTTATTTGTATAGTTTTTTTGATATATTATGTATCAAAATACGATCTTCAATACATCTTGATTTGATATCCATATTGCATATATAATATAAAAATAATTTCATATGTCTTTATTAATAAAAGTTAAATTTATTTATCATACCAAACTATAAATTAGTCCATAAAAAAATAGGTTTTAATATACCATAAACCACCATTTCAGTATATTAATTTTATAGATCTCGAAAAAATGCAGAAGTTGAGTATCAACAAGAAATGAATATGAATAATATTCAAAAACTTATATCTCGACTTAAATAAAAAAATGTTTAAAGTTTGAATGTTATCATGATGTAAATAAAAACACAAATGAATATCATAATAAAAAATTATCAAAAACTTATTACATTTGTATCTGTTAATTTTTAATTTTAAATCATCAAATATTATAAACTTAAAATACTAATTATAAATTAATACATGAGAAATCAAACATTACAGTACAATAACG